TGCTGGGTTCATTGGCAATGATAGGTAGCCTGAACTTCAGCTTCCTTATCTTTAACACGGGGATGCTGATAATATCTGCTTTATAGGATTGTGAGGACTATGTGAACTCTTAGTGGAGCCTTTTGGGGCTCATGACCCTCAGCAGGTGGCTCCAGCAAGAGTAACTGTGACTTTTGTGCCCATGGAGGCTCTTCCTGCCTCCTTTGTTTCCTTCAGCTTCTTGGCTTTTCTTCTCTTCCCTGTGTATATTTCTAGGATTAGGGATCTAAAGACATTTACCAAAAATATAAAAAAGAATAGATAAGAATAAAAAAGAAGTCACCTCTTTCAACAGTCAAGTTAATAGGTCTATACATTCTTATCCAAATGTGCCTTTCTCAAATGTCCTAGTGGAAGCCTGGTGATTTGAGAATTTGGGATTTCACAAAATTTGCAAAACTTCCTAAATCCTTACAGACACTAAAGATACACCCTGATAAAAGCCAGTAGAAGAGGCTTAAAATTACAAATATTAATTTAATTCTTGTCCTGTTCTATTTTTCTTACCATTGTTGGTGAACATTTCTCACCAATGGTGAACATTGTTGGTGAGGAGTTTCCAAGCACCTCACACACTGTCTTTCCATGGTTTTGCTTCTGCAATGGGCATTCGTAGTTCAAGGTTAGGATATTTACCTTCTAGACTCAAGCCTTCCCATCTCCCCCTATCCTCTTGCCACTTTATTTTTACTCTTTTTCAAAAAATAGAATTTATTTTTTAGGGTAGTTTTAGATTTGCAGAAAAGTTGAGGGGATGGTACAGACTTCCCATACATGCTGCACCCAGCTTCCCTATTGTAGACATCTTACGGTAGTATCATACATTTGCTACAACTAATCAACCATAAGTGATACATTAGTACTAATTAAAGCTCACGCTTTAGTCAGATATCCCTAGTTTTTACCTACTGTTCTTTTTCTGTTCTGGGATCCCTTCCAGAATACTGTGATACAGTCAGTTGTTGTGTCTTCTTAGGCTCCTCTTGGCTGTGACACTTAGGGCTCCCTTTTGAGAACAGTTATTTTGTGTTATTCACTTGGTGGTCATGAAATGGATTTCATAACTAATACATGCATAAACATCAACATAATGACGTAATCATAAGAGGGGTAAAAGTAAAGCCTCCCAAAATCTAAAAGGTATTTGCTTTTATAAATGCTTAGTCAGAATTGCCTCAGAAGTCAAAACGAAGTCATGAGGTATTTGCCTTGTAATTTAAGACAAGACTCTGGAATATTATTAACACCTTTTTTTAAAATATATTTTGAAAGAAGCGCTAAATAAAAATATTTGTAGACACACATGGAATTACTGGGTCTGTGGCAGCTGGTGCAGGTGTGTTGATTGCTGACTCAGAGGCCATGAGTGGAACTGGCTTCAGTGTCCTGCTTTTCCAAAAGAGTGAGCAAAGTGCAATTTTTCCTGGACATATATGGTTGCATTTACAGAACATTCAGTATGGTGCAAAATATTTTGTGTTTACATGCAGCACATTTTAACTAACCTAAATGTCCAGCCTGACATACAAAAGCCACCTGGGACACAAATAATCTTCATGGTGCTGCAAAGTTCTGTGCAGGGCAGGTACCCCGTATCCCTGACTCTCCCCCACTAAATGCCTGCAGCCTAGCTCTGCCCCTCATTGGGATAACAAATTATTTTTTTTAATGTTTTATTTATTTCTAGGAGAGAGAGAGAGAGAGACAGCGTGAGCAGGAGAGGGTCAGAGAGAGAGAGGGAGTCACAGACTGAAACAGCCTCCAGGCTCTGAGCTGGCAGTCAGCACAGAGCCCGACGCGGGGCTCGAACCCACGAACCGTGAGATCATGACCCAAGCCCACGAACCGTGAGATCATGACCCAAGCGAAAGTCGGACGCTTAACCGACTAAGCCACCCAGGCGCCCCTGGGATAACAAACTAAAGTACCTGCAAGTTTCCAAAATATCCCCTAGGGGGCGGTACCACTGTGGGCTGCAGTGCTAGAGTTGAAACAGACTTGCCTTGATTTCTTCCTTTGTAAAATGATAGTAGTAGTTGAGTGATGGAAACACTGCGTGTAAAATACTTAGCAAGGTGCCTAGCTCATGGCATGTCCTCCAAGAATGTAAGCTAGTGTTATCTCCCAGTTAATCAGTAGAGATTGGGGGAACACTGTGTCCTTGGCATCCAGGTAGATGTAGGTGAGTGAAACCGGGTATCAAATCAGCACAATTCCTGCCTCACACATGAGATAAGCAGTGAATTATTAAACAGTTATAGTTCACATAAAGGAGCACCCAGGGGTATCTGGAGTCAGAGAAATCTTTCCGCAGGAGACGAGAATGGCTTAGTGAACTAGGGCAGCTGGAACTTGAAGGAAAATACATTTATTCCACGAATAATAAATAACTCCTAGATCCTTACTTCTCAAAGTGTGGTCTTCAGGTCAGCAACTCAGCAGCACCTGGAGGTTTGCAAAAACTCTCAGCCTTTATCCCAGACCAACGGTTAGAATCTGCGTTTTAACAAAAAGCCCCGGCATGTATCTGCATATTCACAATTCAGAGGTGATGGAGTAGAGAATCAACTGATGAACCAGAAGAAAGAACAATGATACGTGCTCCTTTGAGAGAACACAAACCTGGGGGGGGGGGAGGGGGAAGGGGAGAGAGAGAGAGAGAAACAGAGGCATGGGTGTGTGCATGCATGCAGGGGCGGAGCTACAGTCCACAGTGTAGAGGGTAGTAAGGTAATGAGAATTACAGTGTGGTCCGGGAACAGTCTCCACCAGAATAGGTATGTGTGCATGAGTGTGTGATCTGCAAACGAAGATTCCTAGCCAGACCTCAGAATCTACTGAATCAGAATCTTGAAGAGCTGTACAGAATTAGCATTCAAACAAATAACTTCCCAAGTGATTCTTAGAATGGAAAGGGAGCTTAAAAAAGCCAAGCCAGGATCCCAGAGCAGACCAATTTCATCACCTAGGATATCAGATTTCTAGCAGCAGCAGAGCCCTGTGTATTTTTGTTCTTAAAGTCCTCTCCCTGTGTTCTAATGTTTGAGAGCCACTGACAAGAGGGATCAAATGGAGATAACCTCGAGGAAGAAAGTCTGGAGGAGGGGGAGCAATGAAGTAGGAGAAGGTGTCTGCAGTATTTGAAGGCTTGTCTGCCTCGGAGGACAGGTCTAGGAATGGTGGGTATAAGTTTTCGTGGTTTTTAAAATCCAAGTACCTATTTTCCTTCTTTCCATTTTCTTATTTCCCTTCCTCCCTCTCTCCCTAGCAAGAAAGGACATTTGAAATGAACGTGTCCAACTCTTTCAGTCTGTAAAGAAATTTAGTGGTTAAAAAGGTAAAGTGAGCAGGGGCGCCTGGGTGGTTCAGTCGTTAAGCCTCCGACTTTGGCTCAGGTCATGACATCACAGTTTGTAGGTTTGAGCGCAGGGTCAGGCTCTGTGCTAAGGGCTCAGAGCCTGGAGCCTCTTCGGATTCTGTCTTTCTCTCTCTGCCCATTCCCCGCTCACGCTCAGTCTCCCTCCCTCTCTCTCTGCCCATCCCCCACTTGTGCGCTGTCTCCCTCCTTCTCTCTCTCTCAAAAATAAATGAACATTTTTTTAAAGGGTAAAGTGAGTTGGCCAAGGTCAACTAAGATTTTCTCACCCCAAACCTAAAATCCCAAATCTCATACACAAAGTAAAACGAGACATTCTTCCCGTTTCTACTGTCCACTGCACCACAAAGGCATTTAAATCCCACTCTGATTTCGGTTGTAGGCAAAAGGAAACTGGTTACTCTTCAAAAAGGGTGCTTCTTCAAAAAAGTAGGAAGGCTTTAAGTGACTCATTTTAAGGGCATTTTAAGGGACTCATTAAATTTGAAGACTGATATTCATCTACAGATGAAATCTAGACTCTGGAGTTTGGATGTTGATACCTTAAATTCAAGCTTAATCTGACAAACAGCCGGTCCCCAACCGCCCCCACCCCACCCCCTGCCCCCTGCACCTCCCGGAGCTCCAGGAGAGCTGCCGTGGGCCCTGGCGTGGGCAAGGTGGTTGCTTCATTAGGGAGACCGGCCCGAGCGCTCAAGGGTGCGGGCTCCGCGCGGTTGGCTGCTCCGGGACAGTCACGGGAGGCTTCTTGTAGGAGGGAGGCTTCCGTCCGAGTTCGGAAGAAATGGCAGGATTTGGATACTGACAGGGGAAATAGCGAGGTGGCAGGGGACTAGCAGGGACAAAAGCCCAGGAATTGTCGCGATGGGGCAGGCTTGGCGTCGAAATATCTTCTAGAGCTCCGAGGGACTCCAAGGTTGCTCGGTCCCCTTAAGTAGGTGCTGGAAAGAAAACTGGGAGGGCAATCAAAACTCCTAGCGGAAGGCCAGCGCCGGGAGGGCTTGGCGGCAGGTGAATCTCGTTTTCCCGGACGGGCGGTGAGGATGTTAATCCAGGTGGAGACCCTGCACAGCCTCGGAAGCTAGGGCAGCTCGGGAGGAGAAAGATGATAAATCAGGGCGCTGCCCGCTCTCCGGCCTGAGCGCGGCCGCCACCTTCCCGGACGGCTGCGGAATCGGGTCCAAGCGCGTCCCCTCCAGGCGGCATCCCGCGGCGCGGGCGGGGCAGGTCTCCTTTCACGCCCTCGTCGGGGCTCCTGGGCGCCGGGCTCGGCCGGATCGCTCCCTCCCCACCGGCCTCGGGGCGCGGGCTCGAGCGCCGGGGCCGCGGGGCGGGTCCCTGCCGCCCGCACCTGCCCCCGTGGGCGGAGCGCGGCGCCGACGCTCGGCCCCAGCCTCTGCCCCCCGCCGCGCTAGTCGTGCGGCTCTCCGACACCCTCGCCCCGCCTGCCGCCGGCGCACCGCGGCTCCTCGGCGCCCGCCCGCCCTCCGCGAGCGGCCGGTCCGTCCCTCCGCCGGCTCGGAGCCGCCGCGCCTCGCACTTCTGACTCGAGTCCCCGCCGCGCTCGTCGCCGCCGCCGCGCGCCATGGAGCCGGCCGCGGGCAGCGAGCGCCGTAGCGCCCCGGGCCCCGCGGCCCCGGCGCCGCCCCGGGGCCACGCGCCTTCGGCCGCCCCCGGCCCGGGCCCGCAGAACCACCCAGCGCGCGAGCCGCCCAAGCCCGAGGAGGAGCGGCAGCTGCGCATCAGCGAGAGCGGCCAGTTCAGCGACGGGCTGGAGGATCGAGGTGAGCGCACGCCGGCGCGGCCGCGGGGGCCGCTGCTCCGGGCACGCCTCTCCCCGCTCGCAGGCTGGCGCGGCGCGGTGCTCGGCGCCTCCGGACGTTCGTGGGGCGCGGGGCGCGGCGGCCCCACCCCCCGAGGCCGGCGCCGCCCGGGCAGCCGCTCCTTCCCCGGAGCCCGGGAACCCGGCAGCCTCCGGGCCGACCCCGCGCGGGCCCGTGTCCTCCTGTCGGCCGGCACGGCCCCCCAGCGCCCGCTGGAAAAGTTTGCGGGGGGCGGTTTTTGTCTTTGGAGCCCAGTGCTCCCGAGGGGGACTGCGGCCCCGGCTCAGCTCGGAGGGACCCGAGCTCGGTACATGCTCCTTCCGAGCCCCCTTCGACCCCCGGCGGCTCCCCGGGAGAACTTCGGTTTGCGGGTTTAGCCTCGGGGAGCTGGTCTGTGGCGCCCGGCTAGCCGCCCTGGCGAGGCGAGCCCGGCGGCCGCCGACCCTCACTTAGAGGGGACCCAGCTTACGGGGGTCGCTGCCTCGGTGTTGGGCGATGGGAGCAGAGGACCGGGACCCTTGGGTTTGGGTCACCAACCTTCTCTGGATGGAGGCCGCTGAAACCTGGTGCTTTCTGGAGCGCACGTCCCCCGCCCCTTCAGAATCCCTCCTGAGACACTGGCCTGGAACCCCCAAACGTCCGTTTCCTGGGAGGCTAACCCTTACATGCTGACACACAGCGGACGCCCCCTTTGAGTTGCCCGCACGAAACGGGAGAGACTCCGTTGTTCATTCCCGTGCCTCTTCCCCAACATCCTTCTTTCCCTCCCCGCTCCGTTTCCTTTCGGCTTGGAGGGAGCCGTATTCTTGGCCACGTCTATATTCTGTGCTCCTTGATCCAAATTCATCTCGGGCCCCTCAAAAAAGACTCAGTGGTTGGGCTAAAACCGGTTAGTGGCCGAAGCGGCATTCTTGCAGCCAGGCCCTCTTCAGGGGAGCCGGCTCATCGCCACCCCACCCCCTTTTCTTGGAAGCCTTATTTTGTTGGCTGTGGTGGATTTTTATATTTCAGTCTTAGCAGGTTTTCCGACCTATTCTTAGTATCTCCTGTACATTTTTATTCCGGTTTAGTGTTCGGATGCACGATCTTTTTCCTCTGAGAAATTTTAAACAGTAGCATGTGAGATAGAAGGACATGGAAACAGCAATCCCAGGGAACCGGCGGGGATCGCTCCGGTTGCTCTGTTGAGGGTCTCCTTCCTATTCCGACACAAATAATTATTGTGATAGAGCCCATGATGGGTGACCTCACCAGCACCCAACAAAACCTACCGGTTTTATTATGGGGCACGTTACTTACCTTTCCCTCGGCAACTAATATTGTAGGATTTAAACGTTTTGGATGGAAGAGGGACAGAAGAAGTCTGGGCTGAGCCTTTTTTTTTTTTTTTTTGTAGCATTGCAGGTCGTTTGTAAAAGCCGGCCTATTTCTCCCCACTCCGCAAAACGGCAGGAGGGGAAAGAAGTGCCAGGGTGAGTTAATATTTAGCATCATTCTGTAGCTCGTGCTCAAGTGTAACAAGCCCTTGTGAATTAAATCTTAGGGTTCTTTTTCACTGGTCAACAGAATTTCATTTTCCATTATATTATAGCATGAAAGCATTCACTGTTCATAAACTGTCACTGTGTGAAAGCACTGCATATCACACACAGCCTCTCTGTTAGGGTGGACCCTGTCCTCCAAAGAACCCAGTGCTGTGTGGTATTGAAAGCTGAAAGTCAGTGTGACATTCTTTTGTTCGACCCACTGCTGACAGGAAGGAGTTAATGATGGATGAATCATTTTTATTAAATAGATCAGGTTACCTGGGGAGCTTTATTCTAATATTTTGTGTTTGTGTTATTTTTTCTTAAGGGGCTGTGTCTTTCCCACATCGATTTTTGTGTCCCTTGGGAACAGTTAGTTGAGTTGGAGCCACCTTTTTCCTAATGGTGAGAGGGTTTGGGGAGGAGGAAGCTGAGGCACTTGCCTGCTGTGTCTCTCTCTCCATCATGCCTGGCTTGGTTTTTCCTAGGCCTAAATACCTAGAGGGTGTGTGGGGGCTGGGTACCCAGGATGTGTTACCTATATTTGTCCTTCTTTCTTGTCCTAACTTCCTTTGGAACTATTAGACCTGGTTGCAGACTGTGTCTAACTCCCATCAAAAGCTTGCTTTCTAATCTAGTATTTTAGGACTTGAGAGGTATTTTCCCCTTAGAAGTGATGTGGGCTGCTTCCCAGAAACCCAGCTAGCTGATAATGCAGTGCCATTTGGTTGAGCCTTGTAGTCCAGGAGCGAGAGTTCTGTGGTCCAAGACTTTGAGGGGTTAAATATCCCCCAAACAGGCGGAGTTTATCTTGGGGTTTCCACCCCCTTTCTTTTAATAGCCACTCTTCTTTTTTTTTTTTAAATTCTTTATTTTATTTTATTTTTTTTTATTTTTTTATTTTTTTTATTTTTTTTTACAAATAGTTTGTCAAATTAGTTTCTACATAACACTCAGTGCTCATCCCCAAAGTGCCCTCCTCCATGCCCATCCCCCCCTCCCCCCCACATCCATCAGTCCTCAGTTTTTGTCAGCATTCAAGAGTCTCTCATGGTTTGCCTCTCTCCCTTTCCCCCACCATTTCCGCCCTTCTTCTCCCCCTTGTTCCTCCGTCAAGTTCCTCCTAATCCTCCTATACGTGCAAACATATGATATTTGTCCTTCTCTGCCTGACTTATTTCGCTCAGCATAACACCCTCAAGGTCCATCCATGTTGCTACACATGTAATAGCCACTCTTCTTAACACAAGTATTTCCCCATCATTCTGCTCCAAGCCCTAAGTAGGCTTAGAGTGTTACATGCTTTTGCATTTTACTACCTTTCTATATAATAAAAATTCCCCCTTCTTCAGAAAATCCAGGTGTGACTATTATGAGAAAGCAATTCGGACTAATTCATATTAACATGGAAATGACCAACGGTTTCAACCTAACCATATATATTGGCATTTCCCTCTCTACTCAAATAATAAGGTACCAGGCTTCCATTCATGCAACGCTTAAGCTTACTAATGTCAGGCCCAGATTACCAATATCTGGAACTCTGCATGTGGGGGTCGCCCATGTTTAGGAAGGGTTACAGCCCTGCATGCAAATATGTGGCCTGCCTTAGCTGCTCTAGGCTGGGCTGCCTTCTACTTCTGAAGCACAGCTTCCTGAAAACTTAAGGAATCCTCATCACTGCTTGTGAGCATGCATGCGACCAGTGTGCGGGCAGAGGTAGAGGCACCTGTATGTGGAGAGATCATTTGTGGGTTTTTCTAGGTCCTCTTCCTCTCCTTTGAGGAGGGGAGATTTTTCCATTCTTGGTATTGGCTGGATTTTTAGAAGAGAAAACCGATAGGAGACAATAAAGGTTGGACATGGGAAAGTACCTGCCTTCTTGGTCAGTCTTTGCATTACAATTACTCCAGTTTTTTTATTAAAAATGTTTTTAATGTTAATTTTTTAAAAAAAATTTTTGAGAGAGTATGAGTGGGGGAAGGGCAGAGAGAGAAGGAGATAGAAAATCTGAAGCAGGCTCTGGGCTCCGAGCTCTCAGGACAGAGCCCGATTCGGGGCTCAAACCCACAGACTAGGAGCTCATGACCTGAGCTGAAGTCAGGCACTTAACTGACTGAGTGACTCAGGTGCCTCTGATTTTTAAAATTGAAAACTCGTCTCGTGAGGGGCACACAGGATTGGATCTGGGGAAAAATCTCCAGGCTTGTTGCTCCGAGGACTTCAGATGCCCTCTTTGGGCAGCCCAGCCCATGCGAGCTGACACCCCAGACTCCTTCAGCAGAGTGCTGGTTCGCGGTGGGGTGGAGCATGCGGAAGGTGTGTGTCGTCAGGACCAGTTGGATTGTTGCAAACAGCTGGCTCTGGAAGGAAACCTAAATGTTATGTGGCAGAATGTCATTGTCCTTTATCTTAGAAAATTAAATCTTTTTTTTTTTTTTTGGAAAATTAAATCTAAAAGGAACCTTTTTTTTTTTTTAACCTCCAATGGATAAGCCTCTTGAGGTTGTTGCTGTCAGAATACGTAGCAAATGAACTGCTTTTTTGAGTCAGGACTTAAACGTTACAGCTTCACTTTTCAAAATCAATTGGCCAGAATGAAAGGAAGATTTTTATGTCCTTTGGGAAAAAGAAAATAAATGATTGTGAGGGCATAGGACTCTCAGTCTAGGTTCACTGTAATAGGAGACAGGGGTGATTGCCATTGAAAATTAGAATGAGGTGTTATTTGGTAGCTAGGGAAAAAGTAGACAAAGGGACAAAAACAGAGAAAAGGGATTTTAATTTGAAATCATTTGTACCTAAGGCGGAATTTGAGAAGAGAGGTTTTTCTTTTTTCATTCAAGTGTATTTATTACGTAGAGGTTTTTACAGTGAGGTGAGAGAGATGTGTTTGTATGTGCCTTTTGCAACCTCATCTACCTTTTGATCCTCTGTAAATCTACAGGCTTTGATTATTTAAAAAGCTCTGGGCTGTAGACTGGGTTCACTAGGCAGCCTCCTCGACATTTCCTCTTGCTCTTTTTAAGGACTTGTTCAAGGTGCTTGCGTCAGGGTAGTATATGGAATTGAGAAGTTTTAGCAGGGCCTTTGTTAAAATTTTTGAAGAGGATTCAGTATTCAGCAGCCAGAGGCTGAGTGTGGTGCCCCACTGGTCAAAGGGAATGAGGTCTTTTACGTGGTGTGCCTGGTGTGATATATTGCACGCCATGTGATATTGCACAAATGGTGCCTAAGCTTTGACTACCTACTTCTTAATCCTTTGGAGCTGTTAGGATGAAGCTCTTCTACCTCTGAAAGGTATATTGTGGGCTAGTCAGCCAGAGATGTTGGTATGAGGTCCTGTGATACAGAATACATGACTGAATTTGGTTCTTCAGGCAACTAAGAGATGCCATATATGATCTATTCTCAAAGGAGAAAAAACAACTATAAATCAGGTTCTTGCTGGAGATGCTTTAGTCCTCAACCCAAGGCAAATGAAGCTTGAGCATTGCCTCTTAAGACATCATGAATTTCTATTGGTGTCAAGGACCCTCAGCGTTGAAAGCATCGGAGGCAAAATCAGATCTTTCTCACACATGGCCTGCCCAGAAAGCGACCTCCAGTTTTAGCTCTCTCTAATAATCCGAGGGTTGTTTGACGTAGGTTGGTACAAAGCAATGCGTACTATAGAGCAGAAAGAGGAGGGAAGAAAACATGGCCTATAATTTTACGCCCGATGACCTAAAATTGGTTGTGATCGAAGAGGAATCCTCCTCCTCTTCCTGTTAAGTGTTGAAGGGAGCAATGAGGGTGTTGGGGGGTCGGGGACTCTTGCTCTGGGAAAAGCCTCTTTCACCAAGTTGGGGCCGTGCTGGTGGATCAATGCAAATCAATGCCTACAGCTGAGGAGCCTGAATGCCCAGTTGAATGTGGGCTAATGGTGCTGTTTTCCTAACTGAGGGGCCTTGTTAGGGCAACACTGACGTAGCTGAGTTAGGATGAGGGCAGGGGACGACCGGTCAGGATCCCGAGTGGGTCTGTGGGCTACTTCTAAAGTGGACAAGCGCTATTGCCCTGCAGGAATCCATGCCCCGTATTGTTAGAGCCTATGATTTTTCAAGAGACGCCAGAAAGCCTGATTTCCATGTGAACTCTCCTAATTGTTAAAACACAGTGTGGGCCAAACAAAACACATCTTGGCCCACGGGCTGTCAGTTTGCAGTCCTTGGATAAGAAAGTGTGGCTCTGGCTGTGGGTTTCTTAATAAGGAAATGTCTAACTTCCTTTTCTCCTTGTTTTTGTCAGGCTTACTAGAAAGCAGCACTCGACTCAAACCTCACGAAGCCCAGAACTACCGAAAGAAGGCATTGTGGGTCTCCTGGTTCTCCATTATTGTCACCCTGGCCCTGGCGGTGGCTGCCTTCAGTAAGTAGCCGCAGTCCTGCCGATCGATGTGTGCTGCTGTGGTGCGTGTTATTCTCTGACTCCTGTGGGATGCGCTTTTGCTTTTAGTTGACGATTATTGATGAGTAAATTTTTGTGGATGGTGAGAGAGTCAGGGTGCTTATAAATTAGTAAAATGGCTTTTCTCCTCTGCAGAGGGAAGAGGTGGTTAAGAAGGGGAGAGGGCTACTGGGAGCCTTGTCTCTCATCAGTATGTTGGTTTGTGGCCGTAGATTCTGGCTGCCCGCTGAATAGGGAGAATACCCTCTTGGTGGATGTCTTCAGCTTGGGCTGACATGTGACAAATCTATCCTTGAGATTTGTATTTTGAGCCTAATGCAACCGGATGAGTGCAATATTACAGTACCCCCTCTCCCTGCCCCTTCTCTCTGTGTAAGGTTTGGATGACAATCATGTGCACCTTTTAATGAAAGAGAAATGGGAGGTCCTCTGTCAAGTGTTCACTGGCAACGCAAACAAAAACATTTATTACAATCAAGAAAAACTAAAATAATTGAACGCTTTCCGGATAATCTACTTTCTGTCTGTGGATAATCCTGTTTGGGTGTTAGGAAGCCCTCTGACATGCATTTTCTCAGCTAACATTTGCAGCCTAAAGAAATGTCATGTGCTATTTATTCTTATTAATTGTGCAGTGGTTTATAAGCTTAAGCAATGACATTAAGCTTCATCTCCGCCTTGGTAAAAACCACCGTGTTTTTTAATGCTGGGGTAAAGAGGAATGTATTCTCTGCATTTTGTGATTAATTTATTACCTTAACAGAAAGAGCTATATTCTTAGTGATAAGTATCATGCAAGATGTCTCCTGTGACATCCCTCAGTGAGAGAAGAAAGGGCTGTGTCTGCTGGAAGATACTTCGCTGTGTGTGTTTAAAATTCTATCCTGCACAATTAGATTGGCTCCTGTAAGTTAGTGTTGGCTCCCAAGAGGCAATATTAGAATTTGACCAAATGCTCCCTGCAAAACTAGGCATATATTACTTGACGCAATTTATATTGGAAACACTGTACCATATCTTGGCTATAGAAAAAAGCCAAACATTTCAGAAGCAGAGGGTAATGCATCTCAGAGTATAAACATTTACAGTGAGCCAGAAATCTAATCAAGAGAAATTCTGATTCCTGAAAATAGCTCTTCCTTCCTTCCTTCCTCTTGCCTCCTTTTGTTTTTTTTTTTTTTGTTTGTTTTTTTTTTTAATGCTAAAGCAAGAATAACAAGTCCGCCTGATGTCCCTGGAGTGTAATTTGGTTGTGATGGCTGGTGGTGGGCTCTGGATCGACATCATCATTTACATATGTAAAGAAAGGGATGGAATGAGAGATGGTGATCTGCCAATAGAATAAGAGTTACTCAGACTTGTCCACGTGCCTAATAGAGCTCTTTTGATTTGTATCATACCGGGTGTTTGAATGAGGACATGAATGTGAAGAAATACTGAGCAAGCCTTTCCCTTGGCAGAATAATTCTACATTTGATGTTCTTAATCTCATAATCAGGAAAAACTATGAGGAAATGGTGGTTTCATATGTTAGGCCTGATCAGTGGGTTATTTTGAAAATGTTGTTCCATTTCCGTGAATAGGAAGAGACTGTTGCATAATGCATATGGAATTAGAATATTGCTTTGTGAAGCTTTTAAAATGATTTTACCCCTTTCACAAGTATTTCATTTAAATCCTCTAAATTCTTGCCTATAAAATGTTGGCATTGGCTTATAATATGATCTGTGTTAATTTCTATAATACATTCAAGTTATTCCCAAGTTGGTTTCAAGTTAAACCAAAAAATGTAGTTTTATTTTTCCCCACTTTAACTATGAAGGGTACCTTTAGTGTGTGTGTGTGTGTGTGTGTGTGTGTGTGCGTGCGCGCGCGTGTGCGTGTGTATATGTGTGTATATGCATGCGCTCGCATGTGTACCTGCATTGCATGTGTGCCTGTGCGTTTGTATGTCATACTTTAAACCTTTGTGGTCCTCTCTAGTTGTATTGTTTAGGGTTGTTCCTTTTACCCTTTAGATTCCTAAATGTATTTGTAATATGAAGTATTTAAATTGCTTTTTAGATTTACATGTTGGTAGACTTAAAAAAATTTTTTAATGTTTATTTTTGAGAGAGAGAGAGAGGGAGAGGGAGAGTGAGAGAGGGAGAGCACACACACATGAGTGAGCAGGGGAGGGGCAGAGAGAGGGAGACACAGAATCCAAAGCAGGATTATTTATTTATTTTGAGATGGCACAAGTGGGCAAAGGGCCAAGAGAGAGAGGGAGAGAGAGAGAGAATCCCAAGCAGGCTCTGCACTGTTAGCATGGAGCCTGTTGAGGAGTTTGAAATACAAACCATGAGATCATAATCTGAGCTGAAGTCGGACACCCAATCGACTGAGCCATCTAGATGCGCCTCATTATAATTTTAAAAAAATTGTCACAAGAGCCCCACTCCCCTCCCCAATATTCTTATCCAGGTTGGGGGTTGACAGAGAAGTGGGATGAAATGGGATAGATTGGTTTGGTGAACTCATGCATTATCCAATGAAATGGTTAGGTGGGACCAGTTACTCTTTATTTTTATTTATTATTTTTTAGTTTTTTTTTTTAATGTTTATTTTTGAGGGAGAAATATAGTGTGAGCTGGGGAGGAGCAGAGAGAGAGGTGGGGGACACATAATCCCAAGCAGGCTCCGGGCTCTGAGCTGTGGGCACAGAGCCTGACACAGGGCTCGAACTCACTTACCACCACATCATTACCTAAGCCAAAGTCAATGCTTAACAAGTGAGCCACCCGGCCGCCCTATAGAGCTGTTAGTCTTTTTAAAGAGAATTACTGCTGAATAACTACCTGTGATGCTTTGAGATGGCAGAGATATCTTTGCAGTGTGTGTGTGAACAGGGGCTGATAATCATGGCAATAAGAAGAAGAAGGTGTTGATGGTATGTCTTGCCATTGTTGAATGAATGAACCGAGAGAGATTAAAAACAACAACTTTTCCCCTCTTTTTAAAAAATCACGTGGAAGGAAAATATTTATTAGAAAAGGATAAATTTGATCTAAAGGTTAATTTTAGATACCAGTCTTCGATCTCATTTATTTTACAAAGAATTGAAGCATTTTGGAGACCATCCGAGCCTCATCATGGCCATTCTCTTGCTAAGGGAGTGTCTTGGAGTGGCATCTACTGTGGTCACTGGGAATTCCCATCTTGTTCTCCTTACCTGCCAATTTTATCCTGGATGCTCATTTCTGCTGAGCATCTTCTAAAGAAATGCTCTTGTCTTTTTTGTGTGTTTGGAAATGATGAGGGTGATGGATTGTGTAAGTTTTAGGGATGCCTCTCTTCTCAGTTAACTGGAAAGGTTCATAAGTTTTAATTTTTTTTTTTTTAACCTAGGATGTATTGCAAATACAGATTCTTCACCTCTTGTTAAGCTTCCACATGTTTAGGTATGCTGGTCTGCTCTGTTTTCTCAGATGAGTAATTCCTAACAGACATAATGGCACAACTAGCTTTGGTCAGTATTACCGAGTTATACCTGTGATAAATCATTTTTGTATGTAACTGTGGTTGACATTCACATGTCTGGTATAGTTTGAAAAATTAAGTGAGCTTTCAAAGTTTGTGACTTGAAAGTATCTTGAAAAGAATGTGTGCTTTGAAAGGGATATGGACCATTTGTGATAATACTTCTTAATAAAGAGATTTTTGAACCCACTAAAAATGTGGCTATAAAGCCAGATGGTAATACATGTTGAATATTGCAGAAAGAGGCCTAGTTTGGTTTTAAAACGGGTTCTGTTTATGATTGGTAGGCAGCATGAAAAATGGCAATTGTGTTAGGGACAAACCTTGACAAAAGTCTATTTTAATAATGAGGCTAGAAAGAGAACAGAAGTTCCGTTTCAAAACTCAAGGCTTTAACATCATAGATGTCTTCATTGGAATGATTTAGGAAAATGCATTCTGACTCGTTTTTGAGGTTTGAATGAGTGCAAGTTAATTTTGAGTCACTCAATACACGTTCTGTGGGGAATGAAGATATATTTGAAACATTCTCAGGGGAAAACCTTTTCTAAGATACCTAGCTCCATTAAATAAAAAAAAAAAGTACTCCAAACTAAGATCTTCTCAGAAAAAGCTCACTCAAAAATTTAGTGAATCAATAGATTTAAGAATTACAAAAATTTTTTGAAAGGGGTGATTTTCTTTTTAGATGTGGGGATTTAAAAATGTATTTGATTTTAGTGTGAACCCTTGTCCCTTAAAAATGATTGGATGATGTACTTAATTGTCTTTTTTAAAAAAAAATTTTAAGTGTTTATCTTAGAGTGGGAGAGCGCTCAAATGAGCTCGTGAGTAGGGAAGGGGCAGAGAGAGAGACACACAGAGTGCGTAGCAGGCTCCAGGCTCTGAGCTGTCAGCACAGAGCCCCGTGCGGGGCTTGAACTCACAAGTGGTGAGATCATGACCTGAGCTGAAGTCAGACGTTTAACCGACTGAGCCACTCAGGTGCCCCAGTTCTTTTTCTTTTTAAATTGTGAGGCCAGGAGAGTTGATCACACGTGTCTTCTATAAACTCAGCGAAGCAGGTCTGAGAACTTTCTTAGGTAATCTCTCAGTTGACAAATGGTGGGACAGGGAAGGCATGACGCCCTCGGGTGGTTTCTGAGAGTAACATGTGAATAGTGACAGTGACTTGCAAGTTCAGGCCTGACCTGGCCTTTGCCCCCTTTTCTCAGACATCCCAACTTTTCCTCAGGACTGGAGAGCATGTCTTTCAGGCAAGCTCATCTGCCCACGGATCTCCACGTGGTTAGCCTTCAAAGAGGCCTCACTGAACACGGGGACTGGATGCATCCCCCACAGTTGTGTTCCCCATCACCCAGTGTATTTTCTTCACTCCCGTTTTTCTCATTGTGTCCCCACCTCCGTTAGATAATGTCATAAGTGAGGCTTAAGTCTTTTGT